TGCAAAAGCAGAATATTAATACATAAGGTATAGTTTGAGTTTGAAGAATTAGGAACTTTTGGAGTAGTTGTCCTAACTCCTACCCTTTACCTGCCTATTTTGGATCATCTTCCTCTGCACTGCCACTTGCGAACAGAGGGATTTTTTGCCATTAAGATTCATGTCAAAACCTCACTCAACATAATAATAGAACTAATAGTGCATGACAATAGTTATTAATACCATCTAACATTGAGGGACCCCCTCAATTCTAAAATTAGAAAACTTTGAAAATTTCTTTTTTAGTTAATATATCTTAATCTTTTTGAAATTTCTTTTTAATCCTCTAACTTTAAATTTTGGATCCATCGTTACATACACGAGAGTTATCAATTGAGTGACAACATATTGATGAAACAGTCTCGAATTTCATAATGGTTATAATATTAAGTTTGGTATTTGAAAAGTACATGGTCCGAAGTAAAAACTTTTACAATTTACAATATTCAAGGAGGATTAATCCATGATGAAAATAATGCCACTTAGATCTAACTCATGGTGGCAAGCAAAAATAAAGATTCTGATTTTTTAAAAATAAACTATTGACTGAAATTAGAGGTTCATAAAAATAAATTTGTCATTCTTATTTTCTTATTCAATATTTTCTTTTTGTTTATAAGGATCAAATATATTAAAACATTAAAGGTTATGAAATAAAGTTAGTTTTATACAAATGAGTGTTGGGATGAGTGGTTTGACACTCTTCTTCTTTAAATGAGATTAAAAGTTCGATCCTCATAAGCAATTTTACCCCTTAATTAATAACCCAACCTGATGCTAGTAGGATTTACTTCTAATGCAGTAGGCTAGAAAAAAAAAGTTAATTTTATTTATACATTTTACGATTTTTATAGATTGGTTAAATTCGATAATTTCTTTAACTAGGGCTTACTTGAATATGAGATTTTTATTCCCAACATTCTTAAATTAAATAATAATAATACTTCCTCCTTTTTCTTTAATAGATGTCGTTTTAGATTTTTTTGTCTAAATAAGTGACATTTTAGGATTCCAATGCTTCATTAAATATCTTCTTTTTTGATTTACCATTCTATCACTAGTAATATTAATAGTCAAAGTTAAACTTAAATTTAAACTCTATCTTAAATTTATTTAAACCAAGTGAATTACTATCTTCCTAAGAAGAACAGTATAGTGTGTTTAAAAAAAAAAAAAAAAATCCTAGCGGTCTCTCTCTGCTCTCTCGTTTCTTCTCTTCTTTTTTTGTGTTATTTCTAATTGTCTCTAAAACCCACGCTTTTGTGTTATTCTAAATTGTCTCTAAACCCACGCCATCGTTGAAGATGGTTTCTTTTCATCCATGTTTGTCCTTTTATTTTATTTTATTTTATTTTCTTTTTAATAATTTTCAAATCTATGATAATTTGAAATAAAATTTAAATTTAGTCTCTCAGATTTATAATAGTTAATAGTTCTTGAGTGTTTTTGGTATTTCTTAGTTGAATTATTAATTTTTCTCCTTTCATAGATTATTCTTTATTATTGAAGATTTTTTATGTGGATCTTTTATTTCTCTGATAATTCCAAACATAAGATGAATTACTGGTTGTGTGTCAATTGGGACTTCAGATCTTCAAGTTCAGGTAAGTTTCTTTTCTCAATGGAGCCTAGTAGTGCGGCATGTTCTTCCGTTAAAGTTTGGTTTATTAAACTCTTCTGCGAGTGTCAATTGTAATAAGTTTCCGAAAAAATAATGTCCGGGACAATATTATAGAAGGTTTCTTTTGTTGTCCTATTTGAAAATGGATCAGTTTTTACCCGGAAGATTAACCACTTTTACCAAAATCAAGAACATTTCCAAACAAAAGATTTTATATTTCTTATTCCTATAGAAATACTACGATGGACTTAATTTATATTCATTATTAATTAATGAGTTGTTTAAGTTTTATTTTTAAAGAATAATATCGTCTATTTTACCGTTTTTTTTTTTTTTAAAAATTTAGTACTATTATTACTGTCTTTATTTGGTGTCCAAAAACTATAAATGACAGATATAAAAAAACAGAGATAGAGAGTAATAAATAATTCTAATTATGACCTTCCCAATATTAGAATCCCTAATTAATTCCTTTGTTACTACTTTATTCTCAAAAAGTATTAGAATTCCTAATTAATTGAAATTTTGCTATTTGTTACCAAAAGACTAATTGGAATGATTAAGTAGAAACAGGTAACACTTATTCCGGTTAAAATCCCTAATTAATTCCTTTATATTATTTGTTATTTTATAATATATGTACCATACATGAAAATAACGCTGTAAATGGACGTTTGAATGTTCCAATCTCAAGCTGTCTCAAAGTCAGAATCTCGAGCTGTCATCCTTGCCTTTATTTATTATTGGTCGACAATGTTGACATCATCCTATATGTTATACCTCAAAGAAGCAGGTGAGTCCACTTCTATATTTTACCAATATTTGTCTTATATATAAATATTTATAGATATATTAAATTTCATTTTTATTGAGTTTTTAGGTTGACTTAGGAATTATTCCAAAAAAAAAATTTGAATTAGGTACTGGAAAAATAATTTTTAATTTTTAAGATCGAGAAAATTAAAATAGAGAATTTACATTCTTTATGTCCTGGCAGAAAATGAAAATACCAATTAAATCTCACCTTATTGATTAAAAATAATTAAAATTTAATAGATATAAAAAAATAAAATTACAAATATTTGCATAATAATAATAAAACAAAAAGATTGAAGCAACATGTAAAATATAAACTCAATTATTTATAGAAGGACATTGCGTTTGCTTTCCAGTTTCCCCTTTCCATTTTAGTTAATTTTTCATTTAGTTAAAAATATGCTATTATCTTCCTCTGAAAGACACCGAGTTGGACGTTTGCCTGTGATTATGGTGGTGGGACATTTTGGGAGGAGGGCGGGATTTTGGCTTGATATGAGACTTATTGGCTTAGGGACTAATTAATAAGTACATGATTTGGTAGATAGACAAGTCCGGTGATGATGATGGCTCACTCACCATTTTCTTAAGAAAAAAAAAAAAAAAGAAAAGAAAAATTCTCATTTCATTACTAAATAATATAATATGGTCACAATATTTCTTGAGGAATAAAAATAAAATATAGAAAATCAAAATTTTCGGTTTGGAGATAATTTTCTTAAAAGAAAATAATCTTTCACGTGAAATTTATTTATTTTCAAATAGAACCGCTTTTAAAATTTTATCATTTTGCCTAACATCATAAAAGAATCTAAAATACCAAATATTAATATAGAAATAAATCTCACTACTAAGTTCCATAGATAAAATAAACTTACTTTAAATTTGAAGATATAAAATCTTTGACTATAAAGAATCAACTATCAGGATCAATTCTATGAAAAATAAAAAATTCTTCAACAATAAGGATAAGGATAAAAAGAGAGAAAACATAATAAATCAAAAATATAACTCCGCTAAAATGGTACTACAAAGCTCAAAATCTATATAAAATAAAAAATAGGCTCCATTTGATTGACATTTTCAACTCCACAAACCTTCAATCAAGTTCTTTTCTCCCTTCCTAAGTAAGTAAGCAGGAAATGGAAATAAAAAATATTATCTGCAAATATATACTGCGTATAGTTTCAATTTTTTTTTTGGTGTTCCAAAATAATGGTCTTACTAGTATTTTTTAGAATTTTTTTTTCACTTTTTCATAATATCATTTTAAATAGTCTGTGTCAATAATTATGTTTGGTTTGGTATAAATGAACTCAAAATATGAAATTAATTTATAAATAAACTTTTAATGTTTGGAATAAATTTAAAAAATGAAAGTTTATTTTTTTTCCTAAAATACCCTTGACATAAATAATTTTAGAAGATTAGGAGGATGAAGAGTTTTGTTATAAAGTTTTGTTGATAAAGTCTTGGTTTTTTTAAGTATTGCTGCGATTCAATTTTGGAAATTCTTATCGATTTTTGGTAAAAATTTGATTTTAAATTATATTCAAATGTATAGAATTGAATTTTGGCAAGAATTGGAGTTCTATTATTTACATTCTTCATTTTTTTCATTACCAAATATAAATTTAAGAGTTTATAAATAAACTCAATAAAATTGTATATAGAATTTATTTTGTCGAAACAAAGAATATATTATTGGGTTTGAATTTACTAGATCTAGTTGTTGAAACATCTTTAATAATAATTTATTCTAAATTTTATATGTTAACGCTTCATCACTATTTTGATAAATCTTTAAGAAAAGCATTATATACGATCTTTTAAAGTAAGAAAAATATTACTCTTGTATTCATAAATATCAACTCGTTTTAGGGTTCTTTTTTTGTCAATAAATATTAATGGTTTTGCAAATATTAAAATAATTAATAATTTTTTCAATTTTACTTTTTTATATGATATTAAACGCAATTCAATTATTAATGATATTGAGTAAAAGATAATTTAGATCAAATTAGATTGAATTTTTTATATGATTTAAGGAGTTAATTATTTTTTTAATCACCATTTGAATCTTTTGAACTTTATACTTAGTATGGGCGAGGGAGTGTTAAACTAATTTACAAACCTTTCCTTAATCGGTTGTGAAAAAAGTGCTCGTATTAATTTGGGACCAAAAGACATTATTAAATTTATTCAATTTATACAAATATAATTTGTTGTTGACTTCTCATTACATTGCTGTATGTACATACAAATTATGTACTAACATGAATCTATGTACTAACATGAGACTAACAAGTCAGCTTCAAGAATGGTATCTATTGCTAACAACTCCAATCTTTTTTCTTTCTTACTGTATTTATTGTATTGCATACAAAATACTACAAAAAGCTAGTAAGTTACCAAACTTCCAACTTTTTTGTCCCCCTTTATTAGCTCAAGCCTGTATCCCATTAAATTTTCCCTATAAAATCTTAAATTCTCTAATTTCGTTCAACACCACTTCTGAAATTTGCTTTTTCTGAAATTTGCTCTTCTTGTTCTTGAAAGTGAAAAAAGAGAAGACTAATTATAATGGCTCAGTGCATTATAAGCTTTCTTTATGTTCTTGCTCTTGTTGCCTTTGCTCCTCTTTGTTCTTGCGCCAAAAGTTATTCTAGAGGTTATCTCTACCCACAATTTTATGACCATTCATGCCCAAATGCTCAACAGATTGTCAAATCCGTTGTAGCTAAGGCTGTTGCTGAAGAAGCTCGCATGGCAGCCTCATTACTTAGGCTTCATTTTCATGACTGTTTTGTCAAGGTCTGTTACTTGTTTACCTATCACTCATTATTTGTATAGTTAATGGCTTTTCCATTGGGCTAACACTAATGCTGTGTGTTCGGTAATAACTTTTTAAGTAGTTAGTCAAAACATTGAACGTTATTTTTTATAGTGTTTGGTAATCTATTGTTTGAACTAGTTTTTGAACTATTTTTTAGAAGTTAAGATAGTATTTTATAAAAGTTAACTCATGTAACGTTTAACTTTTAGCGTTCTATGAAAAGTTATTTTAACAGACGCTACTAAAATAATTAATTTTGCAGAATAAATCCTAAGTCATCCAATTGTCATGTTAGTGTGTCAATGATACATTATAAATAGGTTTCATGTCAGCATATTTGTGTTATGATATAAATATGAACTCATACAGCATAAAATTAGATGTTTTAAGTCCTCAGTCATATTATCTCTCCTCTTGATTTTCCTTTTTTTTTTTTTAAAAAAAAAAGTTGCTTTAGCGTAAATGTACACCTAATTAACAAGTGTCAAAATGTGGCAGTTTCTATTTTTGCAATTAACAAACATAAAGAACTTGTAATTGCAGGGTTGTGATGCATCAATATTGTTAGACAACAGTGGAAGCATAATTAGTGAGAAGAGGTCTAATCCAAACAGAAACTCAGCAAGAGGATTTGAAGTGATTGATGCAATTAAGTCTGCACTTGAAAAAGAGTGTCCTAAAACTGTATCTTGTGCTGATATTTTGGCCTTGGCTGCTAGAGATTCCACTGTTCTTGTAAGTTTTATTATTACTTCTTAAACCATTCACAGTAAGCCAAAATCCTGAGCTGACCCCATTTTCATTATTACTTTTTCTCTACACAGACTGGAGGACCCACTTGGGAAGTTCCTTTGGGAAGAAGAGACTCTAAAGGAGCAAGCTTGAGTGGATCTAACAATAACATTCCTGCTCCAAATAACACATTTCAAACTATTCTTACTAAATTCAAGCTTCAGGGTCTTGATATTGTTGATCTCGTAGCTCTATCTGGTAAGAAAAATATTAACAGTTTTGATCAAATTCTGTTAAGAAAAACATTAAATAAATGTAATAATTATTAATGCTAACATTTTAAATATGATTTTTAATATAGAATATGACTGGAAAATATAAAACATTGATCTTTTTCTTTTCCTACTTTGATTGCAATAATTCCTGTGCTAGAACTTCAGTTTGGTTCGGATCGATTTTCTATAAAATTTGGTTCAGTTCAGTTTGGCTTTCTTTCAAAAATTCAGTTTATTTTATGTTGAATCAAGAACCAAAAGTTTGTGTTTGTGGGTTCTTTTTCTTTTCTTTTTTTCCCCCTCTCGAAGAAAACCTGATTAAGTGTTTCTTGAAATTCTGGCAGGAAGCCACACAATAGGAAATGCTAGATGCACCAGCTTTAGACAGAGGCTGTACAACCAGTCAGGGAATGGGCAACCTGACTACACACTTGCTCAATCATATGCTGCACAATTACGCGCCCGCTGCCCTAGATCTGGAGGTGATCAAAACCTGTTTTTCTTGGACTTTGTAAGTCCAACAAAGTTTGATAATAGTTACTTCAAGAACTTATTGGCTTCAAAAGGCCTTCTAAGTTCTGATCAAGTTCTCCTCACAAAGAATGAAGCATCCATGGCACTTGTTAAGAAATATGCAGAGAACAATGAGCTTTTCTTTGAGCAGTTTGCCAAGTCAATGATTAAGATGGGTAATATTTCTCCATTGACAGGTTCAAGGGGAGAAGTTAGAAAGAATTGCAGGAGAAGGAGAAGTTAGAAAGAATTGCAGGAGAATTAATTATTAACTGGCTTGGTTTCAGATTGGAATCGTGTTTGATTTCATATTGATGTATTCTGGTTTTCTATGCTTGTTATAAAGAAAAAATTTCTGTTTCTCTATTTTGCTGTTGCCACTATGCATGCAAATGTACTCTGCTCTCAAAGTGGTGGAACTCTGCATCCTTTTCTGCTGTCTGCTAATATAATTTCAGTAATTATTTTCACAACCATTTGAAAGGTTAATAGGATTTTGCAATTCAAAATAGAATTTGAAATGTAGAATATATTTATAAATGATTGAATTTGGTATGATTATGGTGGTTGAATTCTATAAAATTGAACCAGTGGGAGTGAACTGAACAAAGCATGAAAACATAAAATTTACACTAGCATGGCAAAATTCCTTTGGCTAGAAAAATCTTAACCCTTCAAATTTATGTTCTACACGGTTCCAGAAAAGGTAGCAAAAATAACTTGTTAATAGAAATATTCCAAAATAGAAGTGCATTTCAAGTTCATGACAGAGTAGATAAGTATGGAATATCTATGTTTTACTAGTGTGCATATAAGAGAAAATACATAAATCAGAAGAGGCCATCAAATGGTGAATGATCAACAAAGTATCTCACTTTAGCCTTAGTGTTTGAGATTTTTTCTCGTATAGTTTCAGCCTCAATTTCTGCTGCGGCCAGTTTCTTCTTTGCTAAATTCACTTTTTCTCGAAGCGCGATAGTTGTGGTTCATAAACTTGTAACTCTCTCTTCTTCTCCTTGATGACTTGATTACTTTTATCAATCCTCTCCTTTAAGGTTGAAGACTGTCCAATCAATCGTTTCGCGTCCAACATGTCATTCAACCTTTCCTGCAGCCAATCAACGTCCAAACCTGCAATTCTGAAATCATCAACTAGAGCAATTGCCTTTTGATTTCAAGTCGAGGAAGCTCACAAAATTTTTCTGCTTGAAATGTTTGAATTAATCCAGAAAGATTCTCCAATGCCAAGGAACGACCTTCTGGTGTTTTCATAAAACAATTTGCAGCTATGTCTCCATAGTTCTTAATGATACTCCTAGGTGTAGGAGCAAATGCCTCCTTCACTCTATCCCAAGATTCTGACAAAGGGTAAGGCAGAAGATTCTGCCCTAGAATCCTTCTCAGCCGACATGCCAACCATTTCCGACAGGCCAAAACTAAGAGTTTGGTTTAAATGCTCGCTCATTGAGCAAGGATTTGCATTCTTGTCTATCATTTCTTCACCCACAGTTAATGCCATTATCGGTTCCCCTCTATACATATGTTCAGTTGAAGTGGAGTTAGAAACCAAAGGAGTAGAAGAAGAAACATTACTTTCACTTTCACAGAATTCTCTATTTTCAATTTGAGGTATTGAAGGAATAGCAGAATCTACTCTCTGCCAGCAGAATGTCCCTGTGTTCTCGAAGTTTACTAACCCATCATTGCCCGACTCGAAGTTGGGGGAAGTTTCACACGGTCTCTTTGAAATCGTGCTGAGACACTTGCAGAACCCAATTGTCTTGGAGATAACTGTAGAAACAATTTGAATGTAATTGTAAAATAAATCTGATAAATCTTCATTAAAATGGGAGGATTCTTTCACCAGAGGTTAACATTAACCATAAAGGCTTACTTTAAATCGCACCTGCTTTTGAAGGAACAGACGATAAAGTGCTTTTGAAGGAACAGACGATAAAGAGAATCATCTTACCAACTTGTCACATAGTTGGATCATCAAAATGTTAATGCTAATGTAAAGGTAGTGGGTTCTCTGAAAGTCAAATTGTTGTAAGTTAAAAACAAATAATCAATATACATAAACAGACCTTTTAAAAAAGGTTAATCAGCTGAAGGGCACTGCCTGGACTCCGATATAGAGCCTTCTGTGGTCTTATGTCTTTAATTCATTTCTCAAACTCTCTGACATTTTCTCAGAAACCAAACAGGGGAAGAAAAAAAAATAGAAAATAAAATTAAAAGGATACTTTTATTCATTTTCTTTTCATTGCTTATTTGAAAAAAGCTCCTCAGTTAATCCTGCAGATGGATATAAGAATTACACATCATGTCCAATATTCTATAGGTACATAGATATAGGTGTTCAAAAAAAATCCATTAGAGTCCCATCTGAAAATCTATGCTTAAATTACTTCAAGATCTTTAAACTTTTGTAGTAAATTCTGAAATTTTTTTAGTAAATATACTGAATAGAGACGTATTGGTGTTCAACAAAAATCCATCAGTGTTTCATTTGAAAATCCATGCTTAAATTACTTGAAGATTTCTAAAATTTTTTTAGTAAATATAAGTGTTTCATTTGAAAATCCATGCTTAAATTACTTGAAGATTTCTAAAATTTTTTTAGTAAATATATTAAAGAACACTATGACAAGGATTCCCAACCTTCAATTTGCTATACAGCAATTTACAGAATCAATAAAAATGTAAACAAATCCAAAAATGCTCAAACATTTCAAAGTGATATCAAGAAAAAGCATTTCTCTCTCATAAGTAGAACTTTGGAGAAGTGTCCTGCTGATATAGGCTAGAGGATGTCCATCTTGCATAAGGACAGCACCTATTCCATGACTGCTGGCATCTGTTTGTACAATAAAAGTTTTGGAAAAGTTTTGCAAGGCAAGAATAGGGGGCCTGAATCTTGGCCTGCTTCAAGGCATGAAAAGCAGTTTGTGCTTTTGCTGTCCAGTGGAAGTTGCCAAGCTTAAGCAGGTCTCTAAGAGGTCGAGCTATGGTTCCATATCCAGCTACAAAAGGTCTGTAGTACCCTGTGAGACCCAAAAAACTTCTACATTGCTTCACTGTTTGGGGTTCTGGCCAATCCTTAACTGCTGAAATCTTGGCTGAGTCATTGTGCGCTCTATGAGCTGATATTACTTGGCCAAGATACTCCACCTGAGCAGCTCCACATGAGCATTCACTTTTCTTGGCAAGGAGTGTGTGGGTTCTCATAGCCATAAATACCCAAGCCAGATGTTGAAGATGCTCTTCCCTAGACTGACTATACACTAGGATGTCATCAAAAAACACCAACACAAACTTCCTAAGGACAGGCTTAAAAATTGCATTCATGAGTCACTGGAAGGTAGCAGGAGCATTAGTGAGGCCAAAAGGCATAACTAGGAACTCATAATGCCCCTCATGAGTCAGTTCGTAAAATTGTGCTTTGGGAATGTCATATTCTTCATACATTACTGATTTGCTCAGTAACCATGAGCTGAGAGTCTATTTGGAAACAAATATGCACCTCCTAAACTCTTCCAAATTTCTTTCAATTAGGGGTTATATGGATAAACTTTGATCTTAATGGAATAGCATTCAACAATTCCAGAGTCTATACAACATGTCCATTGTATTGTCTTTTTTTTTTACCAAATGCAAATAAGGCTGCATAAGGGCTATGGACAGGCCTTATAAATTTTATTCTGAAACAATTTCTACCAAATCCAATACTCTCAATTGCATTTCTATATACTACTGCATACCTGGTAGGGTCTTGATGTTAGTAGGGTTGGATCCAGACTTAGTGTAAGAGGTGCGTGCAGTCATGATGTTCTTTGGGGAGATAGGGTCTTGCGGTTCTGAAACAACTCTAGAAAGGTGTCAATAAAGACTTCAAGAATCCTTCCACAAGGGTTGGCCTGTAACTGCAGATTAAAAAGACTTGTTTGGTTTTGCTCATAGCTAGGCTACACAATCCAGTTTGCAATCCTTCCTTTAGTATGAACAAGACATTAAGTTTATTAGCTTAGGGGTGTGAATTCTCCCCTGGTTGAGCAAGTATTTTTTTGGCTGTCATTTATTGAATTCTTCATTGGTCAATTCCAAAGAATTTTCTCAATTAATATCTCCCAAATTCTGAGCCATTGATATCCCAAGTATGAGGTCTAGCTTTCTTAAGGGTAACACATAACACATAGCTCTTAAATGCTGCCCCCTGCATAGACCACTCATATACCCTTTGGCACATACTATCACCACTTAATTGGGAATGTCAGTGTCTCATTTGCAAATCTCCACCCCACTCTCCCTTTAACTTATTTTGCTCAGTTTGCTGCACCAATCTTTCATTAAGAAAATTGGGTGTTGTCGTATGAGTATTATTTGCAGGCATTTCTTCCCTATCTTAGCCTCTCTCTCGCGCGATCATTGTTTGTTATTACCAGTGCCCCATAAGGCATGTAAGGATATGTCTATCCTTTCAATTACTTATTACGTCATTACCATCCAACTCAAGTTTTCAGTTCTCCCCTAATCTATTGATTCCTGATTTTCTAATATTCACCTCTTTTAATTGCAACACATATACATGTTCTTGTAAACCACTTATGGCCAGGAAAAGAAACTTTTCAGTACACCAAAGCATTTAAGTTTTTAGCCCTTTTTCATCCATCTCCTTTACTGGTTAGTGTTAAAGGGATGTTATTGTAGGGTTGTCTTGGAAATGTTGGGGTAGGAAGCAGAGCTGGTTAATGATTTCTGATTTGTTCGGGTCGTGGGGTGGTTTGGAAATCGGAAATGCTTTGTGAACTGGGTTGAGAACTGCGTGAATTTGTTTTGTTTGAGGTGGGGCGTTCATTCGTTTGAAATAGGGAGGTGAAGTGTTGTATGGAGTTTGCCTAATATTTCTGGCTTCTGTTGGACAGCAGCTACAAGATAATTCCTGCATAGCGTGCTAATGTGAGTATGCTTTCAGATAAGGTTTTTTTGGTTTTAAACATTCCTTAATTTGGGCATCTGCGTTCATTCCTTTAAGGCCTGTATGAGGAAAATAATACTAAGGGTTTGTTACTTTCAGTTAATCCCTGCCTGAGGTACAGTTTTTCATTTCAAAACTGTCCAAATATCCTTTGTAATGAATCTTCCTTGTTTCAAGTTTCCTCAAGTTCTGCCATCGGATCATCATTTTAGGCTTGAGTTCCAATATCTCTAGGCCTCTCTCCCTTTCTACATAGCTTCCCCAATCCAAATATGTGCCTCAGCTCCCTTTAAAGCTTCGCATTACCCCTGATTCCACTGGATTGCCTTTGTCTTAACAGGATGTAGAGTCAGGGCAATCTTGGAGCTATTCTTGGATTATTTATTCGAGTTACCTCAAAAAAAATGATTCACATGTGAAAGCGGCCATCCATCTAACCCCTTTCCCTATTTGAAAGCGGAGCGGAGATTCAATTCTTGATCCGTGTCCCCAATTGCTAGCTAGTGGTGTAGTTGTTTAACAAATGATGATGAGTTTCATGAATTATTTACCGGATCTCTCCTTCTAGTTGCGATTGTGGTTATTTGCTGCTCATAAGAGTTCCAACTCAGCAAAGGCGCCAAGGAACTCATGTTCTGTTCCTCATGTTTCTGACTCCAGAGCATTCCCGCAAATTTCTTTCTCGAGCTTTCTTGGGACCTTAGTATTGTAGGGCACCTCAGTTCATGCCAGGAAAGTGCTCTGATACCATGTTTTACTACCTCAGTCATGGCCAGGAAAGTGCTCTGATACCAGTGTTACTCTAAATTCAAGAAATCAAGGATGTGGAGAGGGAAGAGGAGAAGAGAGAGAAAGGGAAAAGAAAACTCAAGAAGAGAGAGAAGAGAAATACTGAGAAGATTCTCATACAATTGCTCCACAGAACCCACGATTACAAGCGTTGGCTTCTTTATTGACTCTAACCGCTCAACTAATCAGCTAATCAATTTCCCCGCCATTCTACCGATCGGCTGATATGAAGATGCGACACCGTTTCACTAAAAGACACAGCATCGTTTTACAAGAAGAATAGAAAAGAATACAAAACCCTATAAGATTGGTTTACACGTATCACAATTTGTTTTTTCTATTTTTCAATTAACCATAAAGAATTCACGGTGGGTTTAATGATGGATGGTGATTTTGGATGGCACTCTACAGAAACCGTTTTATATTGTTTCAAATTGACATATAGCTTGTGTTTTTGAATTTCCTCTAGTGGGTTTATGAGATTTAAGTCATTTTCGTTTGATGAAATTGGTTTTCTTGAATTTTGGGTTTTTAATTTTAGAATTGTTCATTGTCAGAGGGAGACATTGTTTTGGTTTCTATTAGGATATGGTAAGTTTTATGAATCTTTTGTTTCCATTCTATTCTTGTGTTTGAGCTGAAAACAAAATAACAAGGAAGTAAGCATACAATATATGTCAAGAATTTTGCCCTTTCCAAGAGCACAAATATATTTTTTCAGCAAGGGGAAAAAAAAAAAAATCAATCCATGATCATTAAAAGCTGTTTTACATTACAACAATTGTTAACTTACAATGACATAACAACACTCACCATTCTGTTAAAATGACAAAAATGAGTTAAAATGACAAAAATGATATGTTTATATAGTTTAAACTAAAAAAATGTCTTTATATACTGCAAGATTAGTTCTGTTCATTCTTCCCTACGCATTTTGACATTAAGTGGAAGTTCTTTGTAGGATTGCACCTTCTCAGCAGCTCTACGTACTGGTCTTCCAAATGAAGATCTAGGCGCTTCATTTCTTAGCTCACATAATGTTTCTTCTTTCAGACCATCTTCTTGTATTGGATTATCAACTGACTGACTGATTGAGAACTTGAGATCTTCAATCTCAAACAAGTTCTCCTTAGGCTCCCTTTCTTGGGATTTGAACCTAGCAGATTGTCTTCTCAAACAGCGCCTGCACAGATAAAATTACAGATTGAAACAACTATTGCTTCAAAAAACTTGGTGAACAAACTATTGCCTTCAATAAAAACTTGGCTAAAATTACAAATATATCACAAAAATAGGGTTACTGTCTTTTTCGGTTCTTCTGAATCAATCGTGCATTTGTGTTTCATATTTAAAGAATTTTGCAAATGTAACAGTCACTGAAGAGGTAAATTTTATGTGTTTTGTGCTTGAAACAACTATTGCTTCAAAAAACTTGGCTAAAATTACAAAATCACAAAAAGGGTTACTGTTTTCTTCTTTCTGAATCAACGTGCATTGTGTTTTCATTAAGACTTTGCAAAGCAACAGTCACTGAAGAGGTAAATATGTTTTGTGCTCTAACAAAAATCAGAATTATGCATTCAGAACTTGCCTCGCCAGGCATGAAAAGAGTAGAGTGCAAAATTACCGTTTGTTTTCAAGCTTCTCCTTTTCTATACCTTGTCTAGATGTAGTAGAAGGGCCTATAGCTGCAAGTAAATTGAAATGGTCTTATATGAGTAACCATTATCAAGAAACAAAGACAATAAATTCAGATTAGGTGAAAATATCTACATTGACTTCTTGCTGTACGCCTTCTGATTCGATTACTATTCAATCAGCAATATGAGTTGCAATTGAACTGGACTTAAAATTCCCTCAAACTATCTTTTCTTTGGCTCAGAAATGGATGTCAAAAACCAAATTCCTATTGCAAGCTTATTTTAAGGAACTAAAAAGAATTTGTTGGTCGTGTTATGATTATACTTGAAATAGTAATCATTTACTTAATTTATTCAAATATAAAAGTTCACAGGACATGGTTTTAAATTCTTGGTTTTTCTGCACAATGTCAAATTTAACAATTTTCATTGCATTGAATTAATTGAGATCAAAGAATGCAAAACAAGAACTAACCTGTAGTCTCATGTTTTTGGCTTTAAGTAATGCATCCTTGCATACAAGTTCATGTTGTAATGCCTTCAACTGAGACAAAAATGCCATTTCTCAAATTGGACACCAAATAATAATAAGATCCTAAAAAAAAAGACTTCTAGTTATTCAAGTAAATAGTTTAAATTAGAACAAACTTGCCTTTTCTCTTCCTAAATTAACCTCCTGTGGAATCAAAATAACATAAATCAATATCACCATGAAACTAATTCTGGAAAAGAATAAAAAAAAAAATTTAAATACTAAGTCGTAAGGAGAAACTAACAGCTAACATCTGGCTGTTTGATTGAGCAAGATTCCAATTTTGCAATTGCAGTTTCTGATAATGAGTTTTCAGATTCCTCAGTTGGTTATTACTGACTGCTATAATTTTACTGTTCAATCAAAATCAAGAAAAACCAAATCCGTCCAGAATTGGCACAACAGAACTAGAAAAAACTTATATATAAAAGAAAATTAAAGTATAAAAGGATACTCTCTGTCCTCAATAAGCTTCATCAGAGTAGCTTTTTCCTGCTCCAAAAAATAAATAAATAAACAAATAAAGTAAGTCCTTTTAAGCCAAAGAAATTGATTTATTTCTAATAAAGGGGAAAAATTCATATAAAATTAGACCAAAGAAATAATTGAACCGAATAGACTAAACAATCTTTGACGGAATGGAGTTCTACATGTTGGTGATGTTGAACTGTGACATGTATGTTGTAGCTCATCTACCGTTATTAAAAAAAATATATTATGGAAATAAGAGCAAAATTATTATTCAATAGATTAAGAAATTATAAGATAAGATAAAAAGATATCGGTTAATTACCACAGCTTCAACTTTTGCACCTCGAAATGAAATCCAACGTATAATTCGTTACACATACCATTGCATATGCTCTGAGTGAGGGCCTAAAGGTGCTTGGAGTTGATGAGATACAACCGTTCAAGAGAGACAATTATTCCATGCTTGAATGAATGGATGATTTTTGTGCTCCAAATCATTATCAATGTAAGATCATAAGTCAATTGAATGCAGCGTATTATCCTGATATGGTGCCACGGGTATAGGTTGGTTCATTTCAAACTGTTGGAGGCAACTATCAAGTTGATTTCATTCTACAATATCAAAGCAAATCAATGGTATTAATGAATTCCAAGAGCGTCTCCCAGATAAACAAAATTGAGAAAAGTAATCCTTCAATCTCTCTATATGGTTGCCAAGACATCTATAAACAAGAAATAACTTAACATTAAATTAGTGAACATAATCTTGAATGAAAATAACTTATGTTGTTATTACTTAAACTTGAAATATTACCAAAGCCACTATATGATATTTGGATTTTGTTGAAAAAATATTTTGAGTAAATAAATATCTTTTTATTGAAACCATTAATTAACCTAACACTATTCTTGCATGTACTTTTTGCTGACAACTTAAAATTTTTATTTTGTATTGAAATCACCAGTTGAATTGATGGTTGTTATTTATTCATATAATTACATTTTGCTGACTATTTGTCAGTACAGATTACTTTTTTTATTGCACTGAAACCACCAATTGAATTGGTGGTTTTAGTTCAACACTCTCTATCCATAGACAAATATTAGATTGATAAATAGTTTTGATTTAGCATTAAATTGTGAAATAGTTTTTTGAGTGTTATTTTTGTCAAAACTCCAAGATATATCTTCATTTCTCATCGATGAGCTTGAATTTTTAATTATATGATTAAGCTATTGTTTTATTGCAATTTAATTATGTTTTTTATTTATTTTTAATTTTAAATAAATATATTGATTATTTTTTATTCAATTTAAAATTTAATATTTTAAAATATACGATAATAGAATAGATTTATGTGTACAGTTGGAAAATTTGGAATGATTGAATTCCAAACTGAAATTTCATAAAATGATATGGAATATAATTTTAAATTTAAAAAAATATTTAGAACAAAATAAAAATTTTAAATTCCAAAGTATTGCGGAAAGAATGTAAATGAAATTCATTCCATTCAATATTATCCGAATTACATACATCCTTTAATTTTACTTTAATATATTATTTTATTTTGACTTTATGATTATATATTTTATACCATAACTTTGAGTTTATAAATGTGAAAAAATTTATATTAATATTCCGTTAGTAATAAATAGTAATTATTAATTCTAACTAAGACACTAGAAGATTTGGAAATATCTAGTTATTATCCATAATAATATGCATAAAAGTAAAAAATTTGAGAGGGTAAAATATTAGGATAAATAAAAAAGTACACGGTTTAATTTTTTTGGTTTATAACTACCGGTATAAGTTCACAAGACTCCGACTATATTCGGCTCGATGCAAAACTCATATAGGAGGCCACTCTCCCAGCGTGACAATTTCCACACTAAAGGCTTGAATTCTTTGGTTATGAAAGGAGTCTCAACTACTTGATCCTAATCAACATTAATAGCATATGGCTAAACGTAACAATAATAAATTTGTCCTTTATATAATTGGTTAAAAAATAAGTAAGAGATTATTATTTTTAATAATTTTAATTTAATTGGTTATATTAATTATTAATTAAATCCAAGTCCTGTATTACTAACAAATATAATTTTATAAGTGATCATATCCGGAGTTTTTTAAATGATCTTATGATTTTGATTGACTAAAAAAAGTAAAATAGAAATTTATTTTTTATTCTTTAGGAGGCACATTATATTGGAATAATATTATGGATAAACATAACATGAGATAAGATAGCCTTTTTTATGGGGAGGACTTGAATTTGAAACTTTTCATTCACATCAATGAAAAGACTAATCACCTAATTTGATTTGATTATTATATTGATTTTCTACTCAAATCCAAATATGTTTCTATTAAGAAAATTAAGAGGGAAATATAAACATAAATGGGAAATAAGCACTCCTGCTAATTTTCATAATATCCCAATCTTTATATTAGCGTTATTACTAAAAACTAAGTACGTAGATATAGGGAGGGGCTGATTCTTATATCTTTTGATAGCCCCTTCTTACCATTTTTTTTATTTTATTGTAAATTTTTATATTTTATTGTTAAATAAGTTATAAATCTATGTCTATTTGGTACATATCGGTGTTATTTATATTTCTGTTATTTTTCATGGTTTATCTCCATCTTGTGTAGAGTTTGTGACATCTCCATTTTATGTGGAGTATTCTGTTTTATTTTTTGCATTTGTTTTATTTTATTTGAGTAGGTGTGTAATTCACGATGATTTTGACTTTCAGAGCCTTCCAATTAATTTTTAAGTTCACATTCCAATTTTCATTAAGATTTCTTATTAGATCAGCGAACAATAATTATTGTACTTATAATAGTTTTGCTTTATGTCTGATCTTCAGAAGAGGGTCATGTCCTCTCTAAATTATAATATTAAAAAATATTAGCATTTTTACTCAATTTATTAATTTATTAATTATTTAGAAACAAAAAATGTTTGTTGAAACTACTGCACTTAAACTATTAAAGTATTCTAAATTTACATTACTTTGTCCCTCTAGATGTTTCTAAACCTAAAATTCTTTCTAAATCTAATAGCATTATTATTTAAATTGTTAACTGTTAAAAATCAAATTACAATATTATTAGGCATCAAACTACGAAAGGCAAATTTATATTAAATAATAATATTTAGTTTAACGTGCAAGAATATATTAAGCCCTAACAATTATTATTTTAATTTATAATAAAGAAAAATAAGACTTAGACTAACACATCCAGAGTTCATTTAGGCAAAAAAAATTGCAAAAACAAAGAAAGTAAAGAAATTAAGAGAAAGAACGAAGAAGAAGAAAAGAGGAGACAAAAATATCATAAAAAGAGGAGTGAGTAAAGGTTGTAAGTTGGTCCGTATAGAATAGAATGACCCTCGTTTCCTATTTCCGAATTTAAAGTCTTATTTTAGTCCATTTCAAATTTTTTACTTTTGAAATTTAAAATTTAATTCCATATCATTGTATGAAAATTCAATTTGAAATTCGGTAATTTTAAGTTTCTCAACTGTAAATATAAATTTAATTTATTATGATGTAATTTAATATATAAATTTTAAATCTAATAAGAAAAATCAATATATTTATTTTAAAATAAATATAAATACTAAAAAACATAATTAAATTGCAACGAAACAAAGCATATTAATATTTCACATAATTAAAAATTTTGTACTAATTGATGATGAATGAGGATATACCTTGACTTGACATCTTTCCCTTTAATTAGTAATGAAGTAAAACAAATGCAAAAAATAAAAAAAATTGGTGCCACCATGAAAATAGATATATTAAAACCTAAAAATAAGAAATTACGAATATGTAAGGAAATAGAAGCAAAAAAAAAAAAAAAAAAAATTCACATAATTTAAAAATTTTGTGACTAAATTGATGCACTCGAATTGAGGATATACTTGTGACTTGACATTCTTTCCCTCTTTAATTAGTAATGAAGTAAAACAAAATGCAAAAAAATAAAAAAAATTTGTGCCACCATGAAAATATGATATATTAAAACCTAAAATAAGAAATTACAGAATTATGTAAGGAAAAGAAGCCAAAAAGAAAAAAAAAAAAAAAAAAAAAAAAAATCAAGAGAACAGTTTTATATTAAAAAAAAAAATTAAAATGTCAAAGTAAATTTAAAAAAAAATTTCTTGTCTCACATAATAAAAGAAAATAATAATATTAAATAATAATACTTTTTCTTGATCACGGTAAGAATTAAAGAAATCAATGAGAAACATGCAAATAATGGATCTCTGAAGCTGACTTCATTTTTTTTTATTTGACTATTATAGTCTATATTAATTACCTATGATGCACGGAGATTTTAAAAAGTTCATCGTACCTGTATCATACTCTTGTCGAACACCGACACTCTTCAGACACTTTTAGACACGTGTTAGACACTTTAAAACGTCTTTAATTTTTTTTTTTTTTAATTTTACTAGTTTCAGACACTTCTAAGACACTTTAAGAATATTTCAAGGACATTTCTTGGACTTCTTAAGGATACTTGTAAA